TATATATATATATATATATATATATATATATATATATATATATATATATATATATATATATATATATATATAATTATTTTTTTTTTTAAATCTCTCTTTTTTGTTAACAAAATGAACATAGGACATATTCAAGATTTGTTAAATCATGTTTAATTTGTACAGTACATACTATTACATTTGGAAAGTATTCATAGAACAATTTCAAACTAACGTCTTTCACTTTGTCATTGTGGGGTTTTATTAATAGCAGGGGTGCCCAAACTTGTATATGGACACCAATAATCCAATTTTAATACGATTAAGACTATTAAGAGGCGACCATGCAAACAGCGATTTTTTTTTACAGTTTTCAACTGTATGTAATACTACATTGAATTATTACAATTTAGTTTTTTTATGTATAATATTCTTTAATGTGTAGTGTATACAATATAATCTGAACAATACCAGGTTAATAAATCAATAATAATTAATGCTGAATAATAAAAAGCTGTTCCTGACACCCAATGCATAAACTAATATAAAAAATGCACCTTATTGTAAAGTGTTACCAAATGTATCTAAACACTTCCTTTCAGTAAACGTGTCAAACAAATGTGTGTTTGTTCAATTTTTGTTTCTTTTTGGTAGTTAATTTATACAAAATCTACATGAATTATATCAAGATTCATTAATTTAACATATTATATTATAACATTTAAATTGAAGAATGTCAGCAACACCCATTTCATGTTTTGTAATACTTTTGTATTGAAGACTAAAACTAAAATTAGCGTTATTTACTGTAAGACTAAATATAGGCATTATTAACTACGAGACTAGTCTCAGTGTATCCTTTTTTATTTAAACCAGTAGGCTACTTCTTTATCATTCCCACTCTAAACTCAATCCATCATCACTCCCAGTTTCGTCAGAGAAATGCTGAAAAGAAGAATTTCTCTTTCAAGCTGTTTCAAATGAACAATGGAAAATAAAAAAGGGATTTTATTCCAGCTGTCTTAAGCCCCATAAGGTTCGGTTATATACTGTAGCTGAAACACAGGCCACCGTCATCGTCAATTTGAATTGTGTGTAATTCAAATGTGAGCTGTAATGCATTCTGAACATTCGTGGAGCATCGGTCAGATGTTCCGCAACATTCAGTGGGTTTGTCGCCACTTTTTTTGAACTTCTCTCTGGTTGAAATATTGGTATAAAGCATGAACCTTGTTACTTTTCACATGACATTTCCATGAATCTTTAGTTCAGGAACACTGGTTAGTTCGAGACAGACAGGATTTTGAAGTGAAGCACAAGTGCATCTTAAATTCAGTGGTCACATCAAAGCACTGCTCTAAATAAAATACATACAGTATTTTAATAGGGGTTTATATGAATTATACAGTTCATCCATGTGTTAATTAACAGTTTCCTTAATTTTGTGATACATAAGTTGCATTTTGGGACCTTTGATCTCTCCTCTGAACACCTTTGATGTTGAAAAATATATAATTATAATATAGATATATGTATGTTTAATTATAAA